TAAAGTGATGTGTAGCCTGGGCAACAGGCTTCAGCGCTTGCAGCACTAAGGAATCAGCTGTTTGAAGCTTTAAGGGCCAAGTTCAGGATGATTTCAGACACAACTTGAGATGCTATGCCCTCTAAACACAAACGACATCCACTACAGGTGTAAACATATTCAACAGTCAAACTCAGGATGCAGCTTTAAATATGCAGAGGTTTTATTTCTGGGAGGCTGAAACTGTGTTTTTAAGAGGTTTAAAAGTCCTCCTGATATCAGAACTCTCTTTAATTTAATATTCACAGCATGCAAAGGGAGCACTTTCAAACAAACCCAAACTGGAGTAGGACAGAAGTCAGTTCCAAGCAGTTACTATACTATTCTCCACAGCTTGACCTGCACCTGTGATAGTTAAAACTAAGAAAAGCTATTGACATAATATTAAAGAACATTGCTGGTGCAGTCAAGTAATTAGAAACAGTGTAGGAATCAACACTTCCTGTGTCTGAACAACTTGAATAGCTTTGTTTACTCTTCCCTCGCTTTCATAAAATTCCACAGTCACCATGAACCACGATACACTTGTAGCTGCCTCTAACAAAAAGGCCTGCCACACACACTGCTGCTAACGAGAAACAAGCATAGTATCAGTATTGACAAAGGCTGGCTATTCTTCTGTTGCCTTCGCTGCAGCTGAGAGTGAAGCTGTAATTTAGCAGAAATAGAAATTAACGTGTGTGAAACTGGAGCAATGGCGACGTTGTGAGCTAAACTCACATTGCAGCCGCATGTAATGGTGAGAACAGCTGTGATTACTTTGTGCAGACAGGAGCTGTAAATCTGAGTCAATGTTTTTCAAACATTTTTTAGTTAGTTCTCAGTTTTTCAGTGGATGTATGCTTATATAGTCAGTACAGAAGGTTTTCAGACCCACATTGCGTTGTTTGTGATTCATCTTAAATGGATTCATTTCATCAATCTATACACAACGCTCCACAATGATAAAGTGAAAACAGATTTGTATTTTGAAAATGTATTACCCTATTTCTAGCACTCGTCTCCAAAGTATCTTGATTGAAAAAGGCAAACTTTGCTCAACAATGCACATAGTGCATTTGTTGGGGACTATTTTCAACTGTGGATGAATACACCGTGTGTGGGTGTGTGGGTTCATGTTTCTAGTTGCCTGACCCACAGAAGTGCAATTTTCATTTAGCACTCTTTAAATAACAGAAAGAAAACAGGTCATTTCTAACTTGATTGTTTATTATTTGTATATAGATTATTTTAAGTGGAGGGAGTGTGGTATCCATCCACACTGCTGAAAACTAAATACACTGCAAGATGAGGTTAAAGAAAATACTCCCCAGCTTCGGTGAGTGCGTCATCTAATTCAGCTGAGCTCTCACGGGTCTTTAACACAAATAAATGTGTTTTTTGCTTCTAGTGATAAGAAGAACTGAGAGAAAAAGTCCTTTTATCTTCCAGAGAGGTCAGGAAGAGGAAGTAACTTACTGTCTTTAGGGACAACAGGGCTAGATGTTCCACCCGCTGAGGTCCTTCCCACTGGGCTGGAATGCTTGGGCCCCCGGCCAGGGATTTTCAATCCGCTGGACTTGAGCATATTCATTCTACAGAAACAGGGAGACGACAGGGACAAGAGAGCTCCTCCCTGGGTGATGAAGGCTTGTGTATCAGACACTAGATGAGAGAGAGGTGGCTGTTGCGTTCCATGTTTAGCTGTGGGGATGAGAATGGGGGAATAAGACAGTGACACATATGGAAACAATAAACAGAATAATAAGCAGGCTCCTACATGTTTGTGCCCAGAGGCCTGTCATAATCCATCCATGGGTACAGTAAAGCAAAACAGTGAAATGGTATTTTTCCAGAGACTTTATAACATCTGTGCAGTTTACAACCTAGGCCATGACTTGGAAATATTTTTCCCTCCTTGGGCTACTGAAAATCTTTCAAATGAAACAATCCGAGAAGGAAAGACCATTTTTTGGTCGAACACCTTGCAACTCATGTCAACACAAGGCCATAAAATGTGACAAGGGGTTGCAAGTAAACTAAAAATACTGGGAACCGCTGGCATAAAAGAAAGTATGATTTGTGTGCTGCTTCACTTATATATGTCTGGTCTTCACTGCTACTTAACTACAACGACAAGATAAAAAAAAAGATAAAATACTGTGATTTGTTTACATGTAAGCACCATGCCATTCCCCACCTGACACCGATAATGGAGAAAGCTTTAATGGTAACAGCAGCAGGAACAAACGCTGAAATCATTTCTTTGGGCTTTTGGCATGAGATACAGCCGTTACACTCCTGTTGTAGTGCTGCTGGGCAGGACGGTGAGCCCTTAGCTGCTTCTCACCGAGCAACGCATTAATCATGAACCAAACACTGAAGTACAGCAGCCTAGAAAAACTTCTACAGAGCAAAGCTGACATGTTTTCAGCTTACCTGTCTTTGTTGCACATATGTTGTTGTTCTTGATTTCTCTTAAATACTATATTTTGTCTTGTTCTTACGTATTTTTGATTTGTTTTTCAGAGATCCTCATGGTGTTTGTTGTTTGCTCTCTATTGCTACAGGAACTTCTCTATTGTGGGATTAATAAAGTCTTATCTTGTATTGAACTTTGTTGTTTGACTGTTTTTATAGGTTTTATCCAAGTTAACTACTGAACATCTTAAAATCCAAATGTACACTTAAAGTGATGTCATTACAATAAGACTATTCGGCCTTTTTTTTTTTATCAATAACTCATTTTAGATATCATTTAAACAGCCAGTTTCTTCAAATGTTCTCTCACTGGCCAAGTTATCAATTCCCACGGAGCACAGGGCCAAGTGGAGCATGGCCTACAACTCATGGCCCAGAAATTATAGCAGATGTAATGTTGTTACAGCCTATAATAAACAGTAGGCATCTGGCTAAGGCTTTTAAACTACACACTGACTATTAGGAGAGGAAGCGAGCACATTTCAGACATATTATCATATTATTTACTCACATCCAGAAAATGAAAAAGGGGTATTTTCATTTTAGAGCAATCAACTCTATTAAACCTGCCGAGAATGATGGTTTTGCTATGACTAACTGAAAAATAAGGCCCCTGAGTGTCGCCTAGCTGGCCAGATTTTCTGATAGCACATGCCTGAATTAATTTTCCAATCCACAGCTGGGTTCAGTAAAAACAGAATTACATCTTTGGGATGACAATGCGCACCTAAACCAAACGTAACGCACCGCCAGTTTGATCCATTGTTGTAGCTACTGCGGCAACGTGCTTCAGACTGCCCTTCACTTAAACCCCGAGTCCCTCCCGGCCAAAATTGCTTTAAAGCACATAAATACAGGAATACACTCACATTTCTATGTGAAATTAAAGCGTCCGAGGAGTGTCCGACAACCGGCCAACTTTCAGGTTCTCGCCAAGAAAAGGGGGATTCGTGGTTGCCACTCCCTGGGATGCAAATATGGATGCTGAGCAGAAACTGAAAGGGAGAGTCAGCGTGGATCAGTGGATGGTGGCAACCGCTGCACGGTGTCAGCAATAGGCCGGCGATGTCTTAGGAGTCCGCCTGCCGGTTCATTTTTTCAGGATGATGGACCAAGCGGCGACCGGAGATAATGGACACGTATCGTTGTGCTGGTAGCCGAACACTGGCAGGTCTTCACGGCTCCTGAAACGACACGCAGCATCAGCAACACTCAAAACCAACTTTTCTGTTGCCTGGCTCCGATTAAGGACGCTAACAATCTCGGTCTGGACTCCTGCATAACCGTAGATATTTGTTTCGGCCTGTTCTGGCTCTTGTCTGTGTTCCCACGGTGGAATGGATCCGTGGGCTTAGCACAGCCTCCTTCTGACTCAACCCACCGGCTAGACTGAACAAAGGGGCTGGAAAGCAGAGCCTCCTGGGGGAAAATGAGAGTAGCCCAGTCTAGCTCATGTGCGCGACGTACTCGGTTTGAAAATATGGGGATTTAAGATGGGACTTGCTTCCGCGGTCAAAACACATGACTCACAAGCATGACTCAAGACCATTTCCAATCACTCATGCCACCTATTACTATTCGGCACCAATAAAAACCACAAGACAACATGTTTTCGTAATAATATGCCACATTTATGGCGCGATTCATTGTGTTCCTTTTCTGTTTTCACCAGTGCGCCTATTGTATATAAAAGTCATTATTCCACACGAATGACGTGCTATGCCGATATGAAACACTTTCTGATGTTCCACAATAATATATTAATTTACCTACGTAAAACTACTCTGTAGCCTACGTTTGGCACTAAGCACAGAAACCTTAAGTGTTATTGGGGTTTTCTGAGACCACGGGCAGGTAGAGTTGGGGTACAGAACCATACAATAGGAAAAAATGATTATCTGGCACTCACTATCTCTCTGACCCTGAGAATGATGGGGTCGGATTTATTTGCATATATTTTATTTCCGGCTGGATTTAAAACGTTGACTTTAAAAACGCTGGGATTGGTCCGCATGTGTGCACCGGGGAGTGCCCAAATTTGACAGCTGTACCGCCAGACAGAGCCCCCTGCTGCTGTACTCGTGTCAGCGGTCATTGCGACTACACTGTAAAAGTTGTGCTATTTGCTTTAAAGTAACAGCTCTTCCATGGAGTTTGCATTAGCCTACAGTATATTTTACATAAATGTCAGGCACTGTGGAAATCTTGGACCTGTTCACACGAGACCTTATATGGGCTGATATTAAAAATTAAACCTGGATAAATACATCTGAAAATCCTGCACTTGCCTATACTTATTTGGTGAATTCCTATATCGCACCATATGGGGTTGTTGCATATCTTTGTTCTTTTTGTAATACATATAAAGAAATTGTGATGTGACCCATACAGTTTCTTATATCGTATCTCATCTTATACTTTTACTCTAAATGACATAATTGTATTTTCTGGCAGAATAATTCTATTCATTGCATTGTAAACTTGTATATGTAGTGGCTAAATTTAGTCTGCTGCCTTTTCTGTCAAAAATCTAATGAAGAACCACAAAAGTGCTTTATTACTGTCTGCACATTCTTGTTTTAATATGACATGTAATTTGGTCTTTACCTTATTACAGACAGCATAGTGGTTTAATATGTAATGTGAAAGGCGCTGCTCTTTCTGCAGTTTTTCTATTGACCACTAGAGGGAGCCGAAGGTCTGTAAAGCAACCACATACCGACAGTGACAAAGGAAGAACCTGAATAAACATGTGGTTTCATCCGGGATGACAATCCCCCCATCCACAGGGCTCGAGGGGTCACTGAATGGTTTGCATGAAAATTATAGAAATCATCTGCAGTGGCCTTCGCACTCACCAGATCTTCACTTAGCTGAACACCTATGTTAGCTTTTGGACCAACAGGTTAGTCAGTGCTCTCCACATACTGTAAGTTCCTGTATATAAATTGTATAGATTTTGTTTCATTTTAGTTGATTTTAACTCTGACTCGCTGTAGTAGTCACTTAGGAGCTGTGATGAAATGGCACAAATATGGCGCCTTTTCTCAACATTTGTCACATGTGCAACAATTTTGTCTCCTTAGTAAGTTAATTCAAGTGAACATCTTCTTTTCAGTATAAAGTAATTTCTTTGTTTCCCTGAACAGTGTTTTTACATTTCAGCTGTAGTGGGGAGGGATAGTAATAAAAAGGGAATTATATCGTTGTTTTAAATTTGTGCAATGCTAACTTTTCTTTTGTTTGTTTACATATTTTTGGCATGCTTTGTTTTATCTCTGTTTTATTGTGAAGCACTTTGAGCTCCTTTCGGTGTTGTAAAGTGCTATATAAACAAATAAATTATTATTATTATTTATTATGTCCTAAAAACTTTGTAACTTTGGATACTCCCCTGATTTGGCCCATGATGCTTCTGTTAGAGGCACATTAGGAAGGTACTGTATCTGTTAATGTCCAGTAGGAACAGAAGGTACAGCAAACAAAATCTTTATCAGTGTTCACATGGACTCCCTGTTCATATTTTTGAGTTTTAAAGTGAGATTTGAAAAACTGTTAACTTATTCTTTTACTGCCACAATTTACAGTGATATTTTAGACTGGACATTGTTTCTAGTTTGGGAAAGGGGCTTTCCTGTTTCAACATGACCATACACAAGGCCTACTCAAAATAAAAAAGATTCTCCCACTGTAGTGTGGAACATCTTGACCGGCCTACACCTGTCGGATGAAAGACAACACAGACTGTGACCTATAGGCCTTTTTATGTCTTAGCATTAAACCTCATGTTCTTGTGGCTGAATAGAAGAGAAGAGTGGAGACTTATAACAACAGGTGTTGGAATGTTCTGCAAAGAAATAGGATTACCATGACATTCTACTTTGCTTTCATTGATTTATTCACAGTAAATGACCACCAGTCAGTAACAAGTCTGCTTCATAGGGGAAGTGACCGGATTACATGTTAATCCCATTAAGATGCTGCTGCCATGTGAGGGCCGGTTGGAGGGATTAGAAACCAAAGGCTCAAGCTTCAAGACCAGATCAGTAACAAATGGGGTGACACTAACTACTGACAGTGATACACACTCTGATGGCACATGTAAACTGTGTACATGGCACCGTCATTGACAAACCAGGAAGGACAAGTCTTGCCTGTCATCTGGAGATATACTGACATGGTATGTATTATTGTTTTTTATGATTTAATGTTTTGTTTTGCTCTCAGCACCAGTACTTTTCAAATTGACACCTCAGCAAACGTTTGATGGATGACAATGTGCAAGCAGCAGCCAAGTGTGTTGTCATCTTAAATTAGCTGTAAAGTCACAGTATATTATGCCAGGGTAAAAATAGCTTTCTATGGAGTCTGAAAGGTGCCATCGAAATAATTCTTGATATCTTAATTATAATAAAAACTGATCAATGAAATTTAGGGATAACCATTTGCAGAAATGATATATTAATAAACTAAAAAGTAAATCAATAAATAAACACCCATTCATATATCTAATTATGGGTTTATATTATAAATTAATAACTGAATTTTAAATAGAATTGCAAAAATTCATTCTTTTAAATTGAATTCTGCTATTCCATTCACAAATGAGTATTCCATCTCACATTATTTATTTCCTGCTTTAATTAAATTAACTTCCATAAATGCATTTAGTATTTCTCCATAAGAATCGTAGGTATGCAAGTCTTTGTAGTATTTAAATTATTTGCAGTAAAAAGAAGAAGACTTTTAAGTTAATGAATAGAATAAGAAAAAAGTGAAAGGGCCAGATCATTTTTATTTTTTGTAGTTAGTCAAAAAGGTCTTTGTTAGAGGAGCTGTGGGTTGTACTCAGGGAACTTTGGACATCTGTCCTCAGTATTTGTAAAATCCTTGCTAAAGTCCTGCCTAGAGATGAGACTCTGGCATCCTTGGTATCGACCACTGTTGTTCCTAGACTTAAATCTGTAGCGGGAGGCATTATTACCTGATAGCTTCACCCCCATAACAGCTGTTCGGTTAATGTGCTGTAAAAAGATCCAGTAATTACAGGGGAGATCAGAAGTAAAAAATCTGCTAGAAACATGTTATTCATTAAATTAGTTAATGGCAAGTTTTAGGAGACTGGCTTGTCGACGGGCTTCCCTGCTACACTATATGTGAAAACACATCAAAATCAAACATTTGTGCTTGTAAAACCCCAGCCCACAAACACCAGATTCAGATCTCAGAGTCACTGCCCACATGTTCACATGGTTTGTTCAATGATTCAAATAGTACCTAGTATTAAAGTAGTAGTTTTACCGTAAATGTCAATTCAGTCTGATTATAAGGCTTGATCACTTGTAAAGTCGCTGCACAGTGAAGAAGGCATAGTCAAAAGGTCCCATTCTGCTTTTACTGTACATGCTAGAAGAACATTAGGAAAGAAAAAGATTTGGGTGTGTGGACCTGCTACAAGTTTTGTGCTCTGGATGAAAACTGAAAAATCCTTAAGTGTACTGGTGAGTTGTTGCACTGCAGCAATGTCTGTGTTAACCCCTGTGAGGGGAAAATTAATCAAATCTAATTAATATAAAAACAAATTAAATAGTCCTTAGTCCTTTCACCTGCTTCAGGGTGGATCATTTCTTAAAATACATAAAATGCTCACAAGCAGTTTGGGGAATTTTTGCATTTTTCCAATAACATGAAAACATAAGTGTATTTTGAGGGTTTTTTCCCCAAAATAGAATTCCAGTGTGTATCAATAATCCTTTTGCTTAATTACACAAATTGTAGTCAACTGTACAGAAAACTGACATCCTGAAATATTGATTCTATTACAGGGGTCTGCTGAAGATCTGGCTTTTGGACTGAGCTGCTTCCAATGATGAAATAAAAGTTTGTTATGGCGAAATGGCCAGTGAGAGAATGATTAACCCATGTGGCAGAGGGGATGTGTGTGTCACTGTCAGAGGTCTCGGTGTCACTGCATGTGTACATGACAGGAGGTGAAGGTCTGGTTGAGGGACACAGATCTCGCACTCAAACAAAGACAAAAGAACATCCCGCCAAGACAGAGACAAGGGATGGTAACAGAGAGAGACGACGTGCAGGAACTGTGTCTGTTGCCCTGCATAAATGGGATTTTAAGTGGAAACAGGCAAAATACTGAACTCAAAGGATTATATTTTTTCTTAATCAGCACTTGTTCTGAAAGTGTATTTTGGCTCCCTTTGTCCTGTGTAGCCAGTAGAGTAAGTGCCATTTAAAAGTACAGCAGCAGCACAACCGCTGCGACTGTGTCAAGGTCTGAGGAAGCAGTCAGACTCTGATAGAGCAAGAAAAAAAAAGACACAAAAGAAAACTTTTTTTTTTCTACTCGACAAGCAGAAGCACATTCAACAGAAATACCAGTGGTGACTACAGTCTATATAGCCTGCAGACTCTACTGTGTCGTCTTCATCCTCTACCTCCTCACCCTTTGCTTCAGCTGCAATTTCAGCTCCTGCAGCAAACGATCATTATCAAATCCACAACCAGTCCGGTGCCTGGCTCTTTCACAACCTGCGGCAGTCTCAGGTAAAGCATGAAAGTGGATTATGTGTGTGTGTGTGTGTTTGTGGCACATAGTAGCCTTCTGTATTTGATTAAGCTAGACACAAGATGGAAAAGGGCTTTAAATTTGTATTAATACAGTTATGCTATAAGAAAGATTGATGTATCGGCTTGAATCCCAATTAGCAGCGTTTAAATGGCGTCTGGCACTGAGCTCTCAAGTTTTCAAATCATCATGAGACTGCTGAGTTAACGGAGTTAGGAAGCCAAGGCTGCACAGGTCAAAATCACTGCGAATCCAAGGTACAATCTGGAAAATAATGAAATATTACAAAAACAGCACCAAGACACAGCAAAAACAGGCTGCAATATATAGAGTAATATAACAAACATATCCACACAATATATGCTGTAAGCATGCAACCTATACAGTATTTTACCAGCATTTGCAATGGTGATTTAATAATCCACGGTAAAAATCATTTTAATGAGATTTTGATGTTCATTTGTTGTTGATACCAACTATTTTATAAGTAAGCCTGTGTGGTTTGTGCTGAGACAAAGTAGTATTTGATTGTCTGTTCTAAGATTTGGCCACAAAAGCAACTAGGTTAGCGACAGATTGATGCCATGTTCATATCAGGTCATACAGACTATAATTACAAACAGAACATTGAGACAATGCTATCATATCAGCTCTAGTTGTGATTTCACATCAGAGAAATGGAAATTTCTGAGACCCACAATGTTCACTTGGCAAATGAAGCTAAGAATAAAAAAGCTAGCAGCAACATACTGTAGCTGCAAATACATCACTTCCACTGAACGTGACATCAAAATAAAAATGTATTTTCAGTAATTAAGTTGAGTTAGCTAGCATTTGTTTGCATGTGGTATCACATGTTAGCGAACAACTAATAAATAAAACATAAAGAAAGTGAGAATTAAAAACAAGGAAATAAATAGAAATGGATAGCCTACTTCTAGTTTTAGCTAATCATAGCTTGTTAGCTTGATAACAAACACTTCCTTTATCTTGCAAAAACATATAATCAGAACACAGGGTAATGTACAATATTCATAAAAAAAAAGATAAATAAATACAATTCATACATGTGATGTAATATTTAGTTAAGGTAAGCATGTTTATTCTATCAAAATTTTGATAGGCCTGCATAGAGCATAATATATTTTCATTAGCTAGTCAATGGTCATTTCCAGATGGGTTATATTTAGCCACTGTTTGTGGTAGTCACTTCTTGATGGAAGCAGTCAAGCTTATTTAAAACCAACTATTATGAAGTTATTTACTAATGCTGCATTCATGTTATATTAGTTGGATGGTACAGGATTAACACTAGAGCATTTAAGTTGTATCAAAATACCGTGAATTGACAATAAAATTGTACATATAGAAATAAGGGTTAATTCACTTGACTGGTGGATTCTGGCAGGCAACCATATAAAAAAGTAAACAGTAATAGTAAAATGCTATTTGCAAGGCAAAAAATGAGAATGTTAATAATGAAATACTATATAAACTCCATCCATCTGCTATAGACAAATGACTGTGACTTCTGGGTTGCTTTTTGTTTGCTTTTGGATCTCCTCCATCACAGCTGTGGCCATGGCATCAGCAGCTCTGGAGCTCATGGGCTTCTTTCTGGGCCTGCTGGGGATGCTGGGTACTCTGGTCACCACAGTGCTACCGTACTGGCAGACTTCTTCCCACATCGGCTCAAACATTGTCACAGCTGTGGACACCATGAGGGGCCTGTGGATGGAGTGTGTCTACCAGAGTACTGGGGCCTTCCAGTGTGAGACCTACAACTCTATGCTGGCACTGCCCTCTGACCTGCAAGCCTCTCGTGCCCTCATGGTGATCTCCATTGTGCTGTCTATTTTTGCCACTGCCATAGCCGTTCTGGGAATGCAGTGCACTCTGTGCCTGGAGGGTGCAGGCGCAGTTAAGAGTCGTGTGGCTGGTGCTGGTGGGGGCTTCTTCCTTGTTGCAGGTTTCCTGTCACTCATACCTATGGCTTGGACTACACATGAGGTGGTCCAGAACTTTTACAATCCAAACATACCTGTCAGCATGAAGCATGAGCTTGGGTGGTGCCTGTATGTTGGCCTTGCATCAGCACTCATCTCCATACTGGGAGGAGGGATACTGTGTGTATCATGCTGTGAGGAGTACGAAGGTGGGCGTGGGAGACATCATGGTGGAGGGTATCCATATCCAGTAGGAAGCAGTGCGCTGGGCACAAGGGTACGGGCAACCTCACAGACCTACCGCAATCCCACCATGCCGGTAGGGGGCATCAACACGACCAGCAGGGTGCAGACACTGGTCCGCAATACTAGCGGCAGCTCTCACTCAAGTATCCATGAAGTCCAGGGAGCTAAGAAGCCCACGGTAGCAGGATACGACATTACAGGATATGTATAAGACTACAATCACTCCATCACATCTTTAAAAATTGCTTCCTGACCACTTGCGTTCAATTAAATGTATTAATATATTGAATTTAATCAAATATGGTCATTATAAGCTTAATGAAGCAACAAGACACATTAAATCCACAACATAAAAGTGAGAAATGAGTCAACTGTATCACAAGAACCGGGTTTGCCTCAATGTGTTTATGACCTTTCTTCAGTCTATGACTAACATTTCTTTAGCTAACATTTCTTTTTGAAATGTTTGCTAAATACAATGATAATAATTCAAAGAACTTTCCAAAGTTGTTTCTATTAATTAACATTCTGCCTTACTATTTGTATGTGAAATGTGTGTTAACATTCGATTTAGTATTTGAAAGCTGAAATATTTTCACTTCTCTACTCATATGAGGATCTATGCATCTGCAAAAATGATTGAATATGACAGGTTGGAGAAAAATGTGCTTCACAGTCTGGGATACACTGCCCAAAAGGGGAAACCCTTCCTGCCACAAGACATTAATACTATTCAAGGATTATTGATCTCTCAGTGGATTGTTCATGATGACTGATGTTTTGCACCATTCTGTTTCTCTGCTGATTTTTAGGGATGCATTTCCAGTACATAAAACAAGTCAAATGTTTTTTGTTTATTTCTTTTTTGGAGGGGAAATAAATAATAACCTTTTCTTACTCTTGGTTGAACAATTTTTTTCTAACCCTGTGTTTAAAACCATGAATGAGTGAATGTGTACCACTGACAGGTGCAAATGCTTTGACCTGTCACACCAATAAAAGTACTGGCACATTTATTATTCACTAGCAGGGACCTGCCCTCACTAAGTATGAAGGTGGTGAAGGGAAGAATGCATGTTTATGTACGTTGTGGTTGTGTGGCAAGGCTGAAGAGATCTGAGCTGCTCTTGGGCACTGGCAGACCCATATATGGTCTGAGAGCTTAAACAGTGCAGAAAAGGAAGGGGCATAGTTCGGGCAAGGTTATGTTCCTGGACTTCAGATAATTTATATTATCTCCATTTATGTGCCCTAGTAAACATGAGAGATATCCAGCATTTTATTAGTTACACCAGAGTTTGAAATGTTAAGTGTTACTTCTCTGCTCAACCTACTAAACCTTTTAATCTTAAAAGGTTTCTGTTAAAAAAATATTTGAATTGCTCTGCATTTTGTTATTGTTCAGAATTGCCTTAAAATCCAAATTTAAAGTATAAACACACAAGGAACTGGCCTTTCAATGGAGTAGTGGATATCATACAAAGACTGTGGACGTTTCACGTTTTTACAATGTGGAACGGGAAAAAGATCGCAGCCCTGAACTGAAGGCAAACAAATGATCGACACAAACAAGCCTACACAAACAAAGATACTACTTTAGTCAAATCAATATGCAATTTCAACTTGACTAGCAGGTGGACAGTGTGACCAAAATTCACAGGAAAACTAGGTCAGCTTGGCAGCTTGGAACACTTTGTTTTCAATGTTCAATGTTTATTTTGTGTTTCCAGGATCTGACTAAACATGAGCAACACGTTGTGGTGCACAATCAGACTTTGTATCACAGTGTGTGTCTGTTATTATGGTGCACATAACAGGCAGTGAGCCCAGAGGAACTGCACAAAACACATTTATAACATATCAGTCAGTGTACTTACAACATGTATCATGGCCTCAGACAAAAATAAATTAAGTATTTAAAATCACAGTTACACCCACTAAGTGTGAGCATTTTTCTGGACCCAAAGAATACCATAGATAACTGGACTAGGGACACACATTAAAGCTGTGGGAAAGACACACATCTCAAAAACATACAGCAGATGACCCTGAGCACCTTTTGTCACAGATAGTCTGTACAATCAACAGAGTCAACATTTCTTTCTCCCTAATGTACTATTTAGATAGTAGACTGAGTAATAACACTCAATGATAAAGGACTGTTATTTTTGGGTTTGGGTATTGAATTAACTGAGAATTTTAGACCACATTAGACCACAATAACATGGAAAATTAACATAATGCTGCTAGCCAAGGCTAAAATTATTCCTTAAAAAAAAAGAAATCACCAAACTGTTGTTCCTAACGACTGAATGGCTCCACCTGGTGTCCAAGAGCAGAATAACAGTGAATTTAAACAGGAGTCACTACAAAAGCATTTCAGTCAACCCCAATATTGAACTGCAGTGTTGTGTGATTAACATGCAGACTGACTTTAAGTCATTGTGTACCAAGGCCAATGAAAAATGCACATTAAGTCTATTTTGCAGTGTTTTGACAAAACCAAACAAGTAAATCTGACATTTATTTGTAATAGCAGATGCTCTCAATACATCCCTCTGATATAAAGATGTACATGCCTGGCTTTACTGATCACTGCTCAGCCAATCATGCATCATTGTTGGAGAGACTGTGATAAAAATCAGGCAATATAAAGAAAACAAAAAGAAAAACATTTACACATTGTAAATAATAATAACTGATATACAATTATTATTACTTGATAAAATGCTTGGAGAAAAAAGTGTTTAAATTGACATATTTTGTAAAATTATTAAGGCTCCCTGGTCTGAAACTTAAAATTTATGTATTAATGTATGGCTTACAAAAATGGGCAAAATATGCCCATTTAACACTGAAGATATATAGCATGAGATATATAAAAATTCAAATCATGGAGTATATTACACAGAATGAACCTTTAAGTACATGACAGAAGATGGAAGAAATAGACTATGTGAAAAAAAATATCCAAACTTATTAAATAAGTAGAAATAGCATGCCATATACAGTCACATCCATCTCAACCTGTTTTTCCATGTTGTTGTCATGAATAAACATATTTTGTTTTTATTTTATTTATCCTCATCCTCCACTTTCTTTTTCTTCTGTTGCTCCTCTTCCTGGCGCTCACGACCAAACTCAACTACCAAAGGTTTCCCTAGCAACCGGTATCCATGGACCAGCTGCAAGGCTTTCTGGGCTGTTTCAGCATCTGCCAAGAGAAAGCAAATACACATGATGTGTAAAGTACCCAGCTTAGTTTATTTGTACATGTATTTATCAGAGTTAGAAGTGTGGCTCTAGGGATGGAAATGTTGCCTGATTGGTCTGTCGGTCACTTTGTGGCCATCAGTGCCAGCTCTCACCTAGCAGAGTGATGAAGGCCTGACCCTTCATCCTCCCAGTCAGCAGGCGATAAAGGACTGGGGGCCCATTCTCAGACTCGAACCTAGAGAACAGCGCCACCAGTTGGGCCACTGACGCCTGTGCACTAAGGTTCTTCACACACAGCACCTACAGTGAATCACATGAAAACAAAATCAGCCATGAGTCACTGCAGACATTCATTGTTCAGGTCTGTCCACTCACAACAGCACATCTTCTCCCACTGTGGTTTTTTGAGAGGTGAGGTCATAGCACAGATATGAAATTCTATCAATCTTCTTATCTCACCACTTAAAAGAAAGCAAATGACCACGTTTACTAAAATGTTTAACTATTCTTCTGACTGCTATCTGACATTATGGGGAAGCTGTGCTTTGTTTGGAGCCACAGTAAAAAAAAAACAACTCATTTCTTTTGACAGACTGAATCTAATCCAGTTTATGAGTCAGTGGTTCTCAACCTGCAAAAGGTTGTAAATTTGAGATCTCATTTTAGGAGATAAGCACTGTATCTCTAATGTTATTCCTCTGAGGAATGTTATTGAATTTTAATTTGTCAAAGGAGCAGTCTTAGTTTGATTAAATGCTGCAGTTTATGTTTATATACTGTGCACAGTCCATAGAGATATCACCTGTCATAAAAACTGGATGTAAAATTAAAGAATATACTTTGCTGTTAAATAAATATACCACATTCTAAAGAGAAAGGTGTATTTCTGGAGGGAAGTGCTGAGAGCATTTTTAAAATGATCTTCTTTTTACATATATATTAAAACTAATTTAAAAGCTCTAAACTGGTTTGAGTGGGAAGTAATATTCTTTAAATAAAAATTGTGTGTGGCTAACCTAAAACAAATGGAGTACACACTGACCACACTTTGTGACTAATAGATGTAGCTGCTGATACCTTGGAAGGTTTTCCTGGCTGATAATTTCGGAATCTCGGGATGCTCCGGATCCCTTCCTCTGATTCACGGTTCCTCAGGATTTCTTCATCTGTAATTGCCTCAATTTCTCCCGTGACGGTCAGCGGCCTCCCTGGTCCCGCCTTCAGCGCTCCACACAGACTGCCGATTGGCTGGCTGATAATTATCTTTGTTGGAACGGCTAATTGCTGATGCCTTGCTCTGTCCTGAGCGTGCTGCTGCTCTGAGATGTCCGAACTTGACTCTGGCTGGCCTGATGAGCCAGTTCCATGCTCAGTGGTGTCTTCTGATTGGTCATTGTCTCTCTGTGAGTTTTGTGATTGGTCAGTTATGGCTCTGTGTGTAGACAGGTGCGACACTGCAGCTGTTTCTCCCTCAGAGTCCTGTAGTGAAGCTTGTTTTCTCTCCTTGCTGAGAACATCTCTGTAGAGAGAGTCCAGTGGATCAGAGGATGAAGCCCCCTGCTGGCCCTCCTGCTTATCTTCATCTGTGGCAGATAATACAACATGTGACTTATTCTTCCTGCTACTGTACCCTCTGTTGCTCTGCTCATCTTAACTTCTCTAACTTATGTGATCAATCCAGGATCACAGTTTGCAATGTAAACCTTACGTTGGGAGAATTAGACCAATCATAAAATGTATTAAATTCAAAACCTTTCAAAAGACAGGCCAACGACAAGTGGTCATCACTGGCAATTACATGAAGAAATGAAGATGTACAAAAGCTGTAGTCCAAGCCCAGGGATGCAGAAAACATCTCACCTTTCTAGAAACCATTCTAAAGCGGGTGTTCAGGAAACTGTCTCTTCTGTTAAGAGTTTCAAACTTGCTCTAAGTAAGAAACTCATTCAGTGTAATTGTCTGAATGGCCTGTTCTTTTTTCTTGTGCTTCTTTTAGGTTTGAAGGCGAGTTATTTTTATATGATTTTTAGGATTAATGAATCTCCTCAGCAGATATTTCTTTCTGATTTCTCTTATCATTTCACCTCTGGTTTGGTGTTATGCTCTCTCACAGCATATATAGGTATCCTGATGTCTCTCCTTACACCTCGTACCTCGATGGTAAAGCGCCGTGAGGAAACCCTGGCGGTCATTTCCCTGGAACAGAGCCTGTTCAATCTCCATCTCTCTCCGTGACAGCGGCCGGCTTGCTGTGAATCGCTGTGGACGACACAGGAGATCTGCCCTGGCTTCAATCTTGTCCCTGATCACCTGCAGGCGCTGGTGTTTCACACCTGGAGCTGCGCACACACCATGGGACTGCGTGGGCACAAAATCAGGCTCAGACAATAGTTTGCTAGTTGAGGTTTATCTGTAGTATGTACATCAGTGTTACATCAAAAATAGAGGTTTGATATGGCCTACGTGTTAATCTGACTCACATATAAAGGTTTGCATTTGGATGTCTCATTCATCTGTTGTTCACACACTCACAATGAAAATCAAGTATTTTTAGGACCTCACACTTCCAAGTATGCAGTGCAGTAAAAGACAAGGAAACAATGGACATTCATCATTTATAGCTCCGAGTTTCCAAATGATGTGACCTGAAACTGTTTGCAGAGACTGCACACAGCAAACTCCCCACATACAGGACCAAGAATTAAACTCCTGTTCTAAGCATCCTCTCTGTGTCCAGTAGGTTTTACCTTCTCTAGTGCCGCTGGTGCATCTCTACTCTGCCACAGCTTGATCTCGGCATCAGTGAGGCCCAGTTCCCGCAAGCTAGCCAGCTCCTTCTCCCCGTCCTGCAGGGCCTGGAACTGGGACAGGCTCCTCACTCCAGCTGCCTGCTCTCCAAACGGCAGATAAAGTGCCGCCGGGGCGAAGCACTGCTTCTTGGCTACACATCTGTAAGACAGAATTATTCTGTGACTGCACGTGTACAAGACATGTAGAGGATTCACTGGTAGCTCCAACAAAAGCAGTGCTACCAAAGACTTTAAACTGACAAGTTCAAAGTGATGAGGCCTAAATGTTGTTTCTGACATTTTACAATAAAAAAAAAAAAAACTAATAAAAAGACAGCTGAGTAAAACTCTGCAGCCCTGCACATTGTACATAGAAAATCCTCCAGGCTGCTCCGTGGGACACTGTGCAAAGAACACAAGAGCATTTGATGGCCGTGTTTTTTAAAGCCGGTCAAAATAACAGGGATTTCTTTTGGACAGCAAAAAGAGCTCTTGTGGGAATACAGCTACAGACACCACTTTCTTTTCCCACCGAGCTATATACGGACACACAGGCTGGTTTGGTCCTCTGTTTTAAATGTGCATTTATTGTAATTCAGTAAATGCACCCAGTAAGAGGTTCACCATAATTTGCCATTTGATTTGAATGACAAAACATGGGACAAACATTTTGGTGGAAACAGAGCCACACAGGTGGACCATCTACTTCACAGTCACACATACTGTACAACATGCTATACACAATTAAATGTCTGTAATTCAAAGCAAGGCAAATGTATTTATATAGCACATTTCCTACCCAAAAGTAACCAATGTGCTTTACAAAAAAAAAACAAAACTATAAAATAATCAAACTCAGTACTTACAAACGGATGCATTAAAAATAATAAGACAAACAATAAAATACATTGACTTAAAAAAGAGGAATATATTAAAAGTAAATCACGAGTATTATTACTCAACCATACGCACATGGAAGTAAAAGTGTTATTAATCTAGATTTAAAAATGTCTACATTATAAGCACATTTAAGAACTGTTGGCAGTTTATTCCAAGTATATGAAGCATAACAACCAAAAGATGCTTCACCATGTTTAGTTCGAGTTCTGGGCTCAACAAGCTGACCTAGGTCCACTGGAGCATCCTACTGAGTTTATAGTCTTCAAATAGCTTAGTGAGATTTTTTTTGGTGCTTTCAAGACAAGTTATCAAGTGTGAGATTTTTGGCTCGATAGCTGTAAGTTTTATTATATTTTTGCTTGTTTGGTATTTTTTTGTGAAATGTATTACAGCACAGATGCTATTTAATGATAAGGGCAGACAGGAGATTACATGGTGGTATATTTTTGCAATTAGTATTTCAGCACTGAAGAGAAGTCTAGTTGGCTGGCGGTACAGAAAATGTGGCTAGTGGGCAGCACGGAATTAAAACCAGGCTGGACTGTAAATCAATGCTGTACCATTCATTAATTTGATGTTTCCATAGTGTATTGTCAAGAATTGACTGTGAAGGTTTGCACATTATTTTCTCCACATATTATCACATCATAATTTATGGAAAACCAATCTTCTGCAAATACAAACAAACAGTTTCTGACCGGTCGATGTCAACTTCAGTGTAGAGCTGCTGCAGAAGGAGGCTTTGCAGCTGCCGCTGGCCCTCTGTCTCCTGCTCCTCCAGTAGAGGGCCATCCTCACAGGATTGCCGGCTCACCCTGACAGATTTGACACAGAAAGACAAGATTTAGATAAGCAGTGGACAGTATACAAGGACATAACCACCACCATAAATATAATGTTACTTTCAGGTGACAGTATTACAGTTTTCATTTTGTAAACACATTTTAAAACTGACTTGCAGTACCACAACTTAACTGTCATGGAGCTCCCAAAAATACAGCACATACTTTAAGACGTAAGAAGCAAACAGCAGTTATGCAGGAAAGCTAATAAATACATTACTTTTGATGTTGCCAAGGATAGCTGATATCAAAACCTAGCAGTGATTTTTTTGAAAACATTCTAAGCATTTATTAGTAACTCAGCTCTGACCTGTCTGGAACTAATCCTAGAGCATCTATCTATTGAGAAAAAACAGGCTGTAATAGCTCATTGGGCCATAATGCATGACATTTGTCTAACAACTGATCATTGTGCGTATAGCCGGACAATGTTGGGTTGAATGTAACATTAATTTGAAGTGTCTCAGAGAAAATATGATGAAGCTATTGGAACAATACATGGTGTTTTACCTTACATGTGCATGCTGTAAGATTTTTGCAACAAGTGAAGGTTGTGCACAAAGGGTTGTGTCCTAATAAAAATCTCTGCTTTTAAGTGTTTAAGACAAAATGTGACGAAGCTACTGGAAAAACGGGGTGTAATGTCTCATTAGTTCATATTGCATGATTCAAATCTTTTAAAATGGGTTGTGCGTGTTATTTTGGCGTCTAGGATGAACATGGAATGTATTTTAAAAAACATAGAGAACAAAATATGTCTGTGAGAAAATAAACAGACCACACACACCTTTAAGCTACACTGTATGCAAGCTACACAAAATACCTAACTTCGGCCAGGCGTTTTCCCTGTGGTCCTTGATTTCCGCAGGGTTTTTAAAAGTAACAACTGACGTTAACTTTATGCTTAATAGTCGTAGGTATGAAATTTGACCTGGGCGAAATCAGTACACTTTCTACAGTAACGTTATTACAAAACAAGTCTGGTGACGACGATGCCTCTTAAAAGTTATTCAGGAGTTACTGAAATATGATTTGAGTTATAGAGAATTGTCGAATGTATGAATACCAAACTATTTACACCACAGTAGCATCTGTAGCTATCTCAGTGACAACGCATCCGTACCTGAGGTAAACAGAATGACTGACCAAAAAAGTACGTAACTGCTTTAACGGGTATTTTCTGGTAACACGGAGTCAACCCAGTATCTAAAACTAAATCCGTTTGGTTTAAATGGCTATATGATAAATAACACAGTTGTATTTACCTCCGCATGCTTCCGCTCTATGCTTCCCGTTCCGGTTTGTGGAATCATGGGAAATGTAGTAGATACCACGCATGAACCATAATGAACTATAAGGCTATAAGGCATTAGGCTAATTTTAATGGCTACATTTTAGAAACATATCACGGATTTGGGGCTTTTGTGGGTTGTGAATAAAGACATAATTTGTTTTCCTCAGCTGTTTTGCTTATGTTGTTTGGTGTTAATTTCATCAATAAAATATTCCTTTGCTTATTTTTCATTAAGAAAACAAGACTATAACAGCAACGAGTAAATTAAGAACTATGAAGAAATAGTCTACTTTACATTTTATACCAAGGATGGTCACATGGACTTCAATGCAAAGCTTTGTTTGCATCACAAACTGGGGCCTCTGATTACAACCCTAAATCAAAAAATTTGGGACGGCATGTAAAATCAAAATTAAAACTGAAAATAGTGATTTGTAAATCATTTGTGTCCTGTATTGCATTGCAAACAATACAACAGCACATTATTTGATGTGACACCTCATCAATTTTATTCTTTGTTCCAGGGGTGTCCCTGGAAAAGATATCATCTTGAAGGGAGCATATGTTGCTGCAAAATCTATCTGTATTTTTCAGCATTAATAAAGCCATCACAGACATGTAAGTTACCTTTACCAAGGGCACTGACACAACCCCAGACCATGACAGACCCTGGCTTTTTGACTTGTTGCTGGTAACAGTATGGATGGTCCTTTACATCTTTGGTCCGATGCACACAGGGTTCATTCTTTCCAAAAAAGACCTTAAATATTGATGCATCTGACCACAATACACAAATCCACTGTGTGATGGTCTGTCCCAGATGCCTCTGAGCCCAAAGGAGTCGACTGTGCTTCTGGACACTGTTGACATAGAGCTTCCTTTTGGCACAGTGCAGGCATCAGAATTGAAATGTGTTTATTTTGAACAAAGAATACAGTTGATGAGGTATCACATCAAATAAAGTGCTGCTGTATTGTCATCAATGTAATACAGGACACAGATGATTTTACAAATCACAGTTTTCAGTTTCTATTTTGAATTTACATACTGTCCCATATTTGTCTGATTTGGGGTTGTAGTAGAGCACTTTCATTTGCAGCCCAAAATAGCCTATCTCATGTTCAAAATTTGATTTAGCTGCTTGACCTGTCGCACAGACGCTTCTGCCATTGCTGGTTCTTGGAAGTAACAAATTTGTAAACTAAAATATGCCTAATAGCCTATAAAAGCTTAGAAGATGCAAGCTATCAGTGCTGTGGATGAGGATCGTTTCAGTCAGCTATGTTTTTGTGTGGCTATCAAAAGGAGTAAATTCCAGGATTCATGTCTATATCTAAACAGAATATAACTGTAGGCTATTAATATTATCTGACAATTTAGCTTCTCCTCTCCACTATTTTAGTTCAAATGTGTGTATAATCCATCTTCTGAATCACTGTGCAGTGCAGAAGCACATGGACACAGTGTGAACAAAGCCTTTTCCACTAACCTCGCGATAGATGAGAACAACACATGTAACCATGGTAACTGTACACAACAAAGAAGGCGAACAGCTGTAGTCTCAAAATGCTTAGAGGATACAAATAGCCTATTAAAAATGCTGGACAGAAATTAGACTAAAATGTCACAGGAAAGTTAGACTATCATCAGCCTTTGCTGACTAAAAATAACAATAAATAAATGACTAAACTTGCACTAAAACTAAAGTAGCCCTAATTCCTGTGCCAAAATGAACACTGGTGCTGTTTTCTCTATGCAAATCCATGTCCTGACATGTCGCATGTACGTCTGTCTGTTGTGAAACATCCTTTAAAAATGTGCCACGCCTGCTTCATTACCAAGGGTGTGGTTATAACCATGTATTTCATAGGCTCCCTTCCCTCCATCTATTTGAGCTGTATATTGTGTCATATTTATCATACAGAATACTGCATGCTGCGGACTGAATATTTTCTAAGTCGCTCCCACCCTCCCCACCACGCTGAAGCGTCCTCAATTAGCCTGCTGGCTGACGTCATTAAGGTGACATGGGTGCTTCTCTCCATCATCTCTGAGCACTAAGCAGACCGCTGTTGCAGCATGGATGGGGATACATGGATGCTAGGAGAGCGGCTGGCGCTGGCACTCAATTAAAATTTCCCTTGCATAAGTGCGCCTTTATCTTGCAGCTGTCCTCCTCTTGCCCGCCTGCCTGCGGCCGGTGTCAGGTCGCCGGCAGCTCAACTCCCCTCTGCTCCTCTGCAGGGCTGCAGGGCTGCGCAGCTCCTGACTGACAGAGAGATGAGGGGTGGGGACGCAGGGTGGGGTCACAAGCAGGGAGAGGCGGAGGAGGAAAAGGCAGAGAGAGAGAGCCCAGCCCTTGAATATACGGCAACAACACACCGACAGAGAGAGAGGCAGAGACAGAGAGACTGGCTGTTTTTTGGGGGGAGCAAAGGGAGCCTTCGACGCTGCGGATATGAACTGAAAAGAAACACTGGAAGAGGCAGGGATCGTGGTTCTATATCCCGAAAATTTAGTGCAAAGGTGGTAAACTAGTCCCCCTAAACCCTCCTCTCTCCCTAACAGTTCTTATTGAGATAAGAGCTACACCCAAAGCCCTGAGAGACCCCCTGCTGCTCGTGCTGCTCCACCCCTCCGCTGCTGCACCGCTCCGGCAATCGAGATGCACACGGAGACCCGTAACAAGAAAGTAAGTGGACGTTATTGACTTTGCCCTGGTCAATGAAATAAACAAATAAATAAATAAATACATCTACCTGTGTGGATGATCTGGCTGTGCACAGGCATAGTTGACATTGTCAGCTCAACATGTGCCAGATATGAATGTCAGTGAGTATGTGCGGCTCTAACAGTGTATCCCTGCAGGCGTGCAGTTTATTTGCAATCAGTGGAAGAGTTTTGTAACAGCGACCCCATTGCATTGCAATAACACCATAAAACATCCGGCTGAGAGCGCTGTCATTTCTATGGTCAACATGGAAACATCTGTATCGTTTCCGCCTGAAACTTTCTCTCCTCTCTGTGTGCGAGGTTAGTTCAAGTTAAATTTGAAATGCTCTGTGATCTCCGGGAAACAGGAAGGAAAAGGCAAGCAGAAGCTGCAGCTTGTAGGACACCATCTTAGCTTTTAAAGGGCCAGCAGCCTCTGCTGAGACACAAACACGACCCTGGGAAGCAGCTAAGTGCACTGTGTCCAGCTACACTCTGTGAAGGCCCAGCTGCTGACTTGTGCCTTTAAATGAGTCTCTTGTCAACAGAGTATGTTTATGTGTCAGCTAGGCTGGCAGTCAGACCTGGAATAAATCTGACCTATGACCAGACTGTTGTGGAACAGAGAGCTGGACGCAAACAGCAGTGTTTTAATTGTAGATATGTTTGTTTGATGGTTTGCAGGGAGTATGATGGAGCCAAGTTGCAGTTGCCCAGGCCCCAAGCTCCTCAATAATGAAGTGAGCTTTGACCTGTGAATTTGCATGGATGACCAAATGGATCTTGTGTTTGAACAGTTTGACTTGAACAAGGCCACACACTACAGCATCACTCTTTCTCTGTTGATTTGTTGTTTACTTGGTTTTTGACTGACATTGTTGACCGGTTGCAGGTGATGATGTTTTAGAAAGTCGGTTAAGGAGCCTCTGTGACACTTGTGAGAAATTAGTTTAGTGAGTCTGTGTAAAATGATACAGTTGCCCTTCTATTTGGCCCTTACCTGTGGTTTTAGGTATGTAGACGCACCAGATTGATTTACTTTGCATATATAAGGATTGGGCAGCTTAATAAGTATATTAATAGCTTCACAAACTCGTAAATGTATTGTAGAAGTGTGTCATTATTGTGTTGTCAGGCGAAAAAGAACATGTCAGCATTTATATATTGACAAAACACTGTCGTGAATTTTTTTTCACAAATCCTACCTTAACATCAGGAGCACCTGCTCCGTGCTTCATTGCGCGTCCTGTGTTGGTTTTATTCCATTTTAAGAAGTGGTTGCATTTTTATTAGTCATGGCGACATAGATACAATATGAAGATACATTCTGTATCAACTGTGTCAACCATTTAACTGATTTCTGTCTCTGCTCTCCCCCCTGAAGGTGGGGTAGCATAGCTAGCAGGTCATCCATACCCTTGTGAGCATCTGTTTTGTATAGATGGCCAACATTCTTTGGGCTGCAGGAGAAACGTGATTGCTTTGCTCAGTGGAGGGCTTTTAAAAGAGGAAGCCAGTAGATCTGCAGCCTTGTGACTGAAGAAGAGCACTTTTGCCCCCGTACCACATAACCTTGCCATTTTATCAGTAGTACCCAGAGTAAGTGGGCTTCAGATTGCAAAGGTTTTTTCATGAGTCCTAATGTACCTTACAATTATAACAAGACACAATGACCCCATTAAATAAAAAATGGGGCATTTATGACTAACCCAGACAATGCACAAGAAAAAATGCATCTGAGTCACAAACACTTTATTTTCCCAATACAGTAAATCTTCTGGAATCTGCAGCCAGCAGCAATGCTTCATACTTAGTAGGCTTTAAACGCAGAGAGAAAGGTGTTAGCAGAACACTGGCATAATCACAATGGGTGACTGCTGGACTGCTTGCATTGTTGGAGATTTCTTCTCACATCTGTCTCTGTTGCATGTAAGACATGTTAAAAATAATTTAAACCCCCAAATCAAAGCAGCAGATAAAGAAAAAGAGTATTCTGCTTCAGTCATGGCAAACACTGACAAACGCTATAGCAGCAGTGCAACATTAAGCAGCTGACCCCTGAAGGTCAAAGCTGTGGATTAAATTCAAATAAAAGTGAGGTAAAGCTTTGATTTTGGTTGCAGTGCACATTCTGTATGTGAATGTACACTTGAGATCATTGCTGTATTTCTTCTGCATTGCACCTTCATGAGGCGGGATTGTAACATAGAGCACTAGGTAGGTAGGGTGACCTTTTATTGCTTGGATCTAGGAGACTTACCACTTCACAATTTTATGTCTCTGCCAGCCAGCCACTCAAATTCACAAAAATGGGACAGTTATGAGGTCACTGACCTTGACATTTGACCTTTGGCCACCAAAATTGAATCACTTCATCTCTGAGTCCAAGAGGACACTTGTGCTTTATTTGAAGAAATCCCCTCAAGGTGTTCAAAAAAAGGGGCCATACAGTTGGGCGGACAACTCGAAACCACAATAAAGTGGTGGTTCTAGTTTTTAAACACAGAAATAGAGCATGAACTGTGAAATGCAGAAAAAATGTATTATTGCTCTTTTTAACAGTGGCTGATGATTATTAATTATTTTGGTGTTGTCTCTCTATTTGGGTCTATTCATGTTTTGGATCAGATCTAATTATCCCCCAGACTTCTGCTTCTTTTAAATTAAAAGAGGTGGAGCCCTCTTTTTCATAGCCAAAAGCCTTATTTTCTCCTTTTCATTCTAAACAGAAACCAGAAACATGAAATACTTAATGTGTGCCACAGAAATTGTACTTATAAAGAGCTAAATAAACAGGTACCATTTACACCAGTGACTCTAAAACGCTTTCATAAACTGTAATGAGAGTTAAATACAGTGTAATGTTACATCAGTTACTTGATAGTCGCAAAGCAGACATTTCTTTACACACTCTAAATATTGTGGGATATTGCTTTAAGTTGTGTGGTACATGACATAATAATGTACAGGTAACACCAGGTAGGAGATATAGCAGCTCATTGTAGCTGAATGTGTGGAAACACAAAGCGCTTTCATTCTGTCTGATTTTATGTTTTTATTTTTACCTTTGACCCACATCATTCTTTTTGAAGCTGTGGGAGCGGAAATTGATTTCCTGTCATCATAGCTCAGGCGGTGCACTATTGGGGGCATTGTGCTAATGATAGCAGTGCTCTTATTCTGCATTACAGGGGCAAAACGGTGTGCTGTGTTTGTATGCGTGTGTGCCGGATCACCTGGGCTGCAGACGTGAGAGCAGGGTCAGCTGTACATTCCTGGGCGGGGGGGATCAGGAGCAAAGTGCCCTTGAATACAAAGTCTGCTGGTGTGTGAGAGAGATGGCGCACGTGTGTGTGTGATACATTGAGAGTTGATGCCTCACAATAGGAAATGATTAACTGTGCTGAGCAAAGTTTGATACTAGTCTGATAATACTGACACTGTATGTCTATCCCCCTTCACACTATATGATCACACACTTCACCAATTTTCTAGCTTCTGTGCAACAGCTAGTTTCAATTAATTTCTTTACATCATGAAAATCAGCTTGCAGAGACTTGCAGAAATTGCTGTACATAGCTAATCTCTCACAGTAAGTCATTAGTCACCCTTATCTTTTGTCTAATGTTGGTATTGTTGCACGGCAGTGGAGTAAACAGACTAAAAATCTACTGTTTTAGGAGACTTTTGATCTAAAACTGCTGAATCTTTTAAATATGTAATGACTCAAATCCATTTAGCATTAATATGACATTCATGTTTTGCTTATTTGTCTTGTCGCCTGGATTTGATTCCTCAACGACGTCATTCATCAAATCAGGGCTTTTCAGAAGACGAGTCAACATTTTGCAAATGTTGCGGCTTCCTTGAATGTGCCACCAAGGAGAGTTTTTAAAATGCTGTTAACGCCAGTATAATGCAATGAAAATGTAGCTTTGACAAATCAAGGCTGTCTGTTGTTCTATATGAAGTTCTATATTTATGGAGCACACCAAAACATTCTACATGCAAATAACTCAGAAGACACAAAGTTCAAACTAATAAAAAATTCAGTGCAGGGATTTGTCCATATGTGGCATTTGAATATGGAAGCAGTGCCATACAAATGATTCAGTTTGTTGTTTTCTTTCTTCACCTAAGTTCAACAATCCCAATGTTTAATGAAAGGTTTTTAGTTGGTGACATCAGAATTCAGTTGAGTCAGTCAACAAACTGACCCTCTCTCTAATATTTGGGGCTAAGTTTATGGAAGGACGTTTTTATGGTGTACATTATGGTTTAGTCTCACATTCTGTCCTCTGAGTTACTCTGTTAAGGTGACTTCAGTATGATCATTCTATCTGATTACTGGTATGAAGGTTTAGGATGATAAATCAGACATAATCCCAGAAAAAAGTATCATACTCTACATTCTGGTTACGTTTCATTTAATATATTTAAGGCCATTTTCACTCCAGAAAGTCTCTGGGTCAAATTTGTTAGTGATTGGCTGAATTTTGTACCCCAGCACAGAAATGGTATATGGTCTTACATAGTGCTTTTTTACACACTGAAGCACATTCCAAGCACTTTATTTCCCATTCTCACACACAAACACTCACACATTCACACACCAGTGATATCATCAGGAGCAGCTAGGAGTTCAGTGTCTTGCTCAGGGCCACTTTGACTTGTGGACCGGAGAAGCTGGGGACCAAACCACTGACCCTACGGTTAGGGGGAGACCCGCTCTACCTCCTGAGCCGCAGCCACCCCCAATCTAGCCTGCATGAGAGCACAGTTACATCATCTACTCGCTGACTCCAAACTACACACCAATGGGCTTATGCACTGCGCTTTTTAATTGCCAGAGAAGTTGTCTATGAATTTACATTATAGATACAATATAGCACCCTACAGTTTGGACTGACCACACATACTTGATGTATAAGCTTTGCATGTACTCTACTTATCCCCTATGAACAAACCCCCCAGTTACAA